AGCTACAACAACAACGGCAACAACAACAACAACTGCTGCATCGCATGGACAAACATGCGGCGAAACAACTGCTGCATGTGGAACAGTTGTCTTGGGAGGAGGCGCCAAAGCACGACACATTAATAAAATAGACAACTTAAAATATATATATTTCAGCGAAGTGCATTAAAATGTTATAAAACAAAATTATGATATTTAATTTAGTCGAGTGAAGTGCTTTGCCCAGTAACCTAACAGCAGCTGGCATTTATATGAGCCATATAATTAAATTTATTGCGATCAGGCTAATGAAAATTTCTTGACAAACATAAAAACTGTAATGGAAAAAGATGTCCAAAAGATTTTAGCTGTTCAGCACGGCAGCATGGGGAATATATAGGGCAGATCCAATAGACTCATTCAGAACTTCTGTCTAGTTATGAATAATATCATTATTGTGGTTCAAGTTTTATAGCTAACATGGTGACATTGCTCCAAATTGATCTGTTTTTGAGTATTTTACAGAAGCTGGCTGTAGTATATTTCTTTATTAAATACAATACGCTAATTTGTAAGTTTCAATCTGAAATAATTATAATATATAATCTCTTTGCTACGTAAACGAGTTTAATGTCTCTGTTCGATTTAGGTAAGTGAGATTAATGCTGAGTGTACTTAATGGCAACAAGAAATGTAGAGCAATATGAGGCTGATTTGCTCAAACTTCCACTCAGATCGCAATTACTAGACTTGAGGGGATGTGGTAACGCCTTGCAATGAGCTACGGCCACCTGCCGGCTGAATGCGATATACGAAACTGTTCAATTAGCGACCAATTTCGACGGGCGATAACTCACAATTTGACAACTTTCAAAAATATGAGCTCATATTACGCGGCTGCACTTGCACAAATCTAAATATGCAATTTATAATTAACATTTCATAAATTCGCAATCGTGATAAGAAAAGTTTTCCATTAAGAATCAATTAAAATGCAAAACTCGATCAAAACTGTTTGCTTTGTTGCTGCTATGGTTGCTATTTGCATTGGTATTATTGCGCCTGGCTGGCTGAAATGAAGTTATCGTGATTGAACGACTTTTCGCACAAGATAAAGTCTAAAGTACGGCAATGAAAAGGCATTTTATTGAAACAACAACAAAGCTTAAATGAGAATTCCAGCAGAGTGTAGCATATTTATTATAATCATATATGGGTGCCATGTATCGAATACCTTGGTTCAAATACTAATTAATCCCATATTAAAAATGTCTAAATTCCAGAAGGAATCGACTTAGTTTCAAGACAGTTTCTATTTTCGAATATCTAATTTTAGCTGAAATATTTATATGAAACTTAAATATTTCACTTTCGATTAAATTGTAACACTGTCTGGCAGGGTATAGAATATTACTATTGAGAGCAATAATTAATATGTATATATTGTAATATATATTCAAATAGAAGTAGAACGATATTATCACGTGCAATGTTAATGAATTCAATTGAATTTTTGCATTATCGCCAGACAAACAGACCCGAACAAGCACTCAGAGACCCACGCAGACCCTGAGTGCTAGACCGAGTGCAAAGAGCCAGTGCCATATCTAGTGCCAGTTTCAGTTGTCCACTTGTACACTTCCCAGTGGGCAGCCTCTGTTGCTCGTAGGCTTTGCTCTCTTTGATCTATTTGCGATTGTCTCCATTGGCGTGGTCGGTCCAGCGCGCTTGGATCTAGCGCCACAACAAAACTGAGTTAAACAAGTTAGATTACAGCAGTCCATGCAGCCTGACTAGCAGTTACCCTTTAACCAGTTGCGAGATGCCATAATCAACACCATCAATCAACAAATGCAGATGCATATGCAGCTGCATCTACAGTAAAGCTTCCCTTTCTGTCCCAGCCAAGTTGCTGATACAATAGTCCGAAGCAAGTGCGAAAATGCTACAATTTAACTCAGCAGCGCGTTAGATTCAGGGACAAGCCTAACATACCCTCTCTATTGATAGTCGAAAAAAATATTTAATAAATTTAATGCACTTGCTGCCAACTGCGCACAGAAATTTGCATAGACGTACGACTCTATTTTGTATGTATTTTTATATTCGTAATTGTTTAATCGCACTTTGGTAATCTATGTGGGTTAGCGACCCAAGCGAACGAACGAGCGTGCCGCATGGAATGTGTAATTGAAAATTAAGTCTTACGTGCTAAAATGGGATAAGGTTTGTTAGATTTAAATATGAAAGAGATATATCAAAAAATATATATATTCTTGATTAAGATTAAGAGAACGCGCATCCATTAAATCTCTTATATATAAGCTGTTGGTATCTTCCTGTAAAATTATGATGTATACAAAGACTTAAATCAATATGCAAAATACGCCTCATACCTTACAGCTTAACTATAAAAATATATTTGTATATACGAATAATTTGATAATGCCTGATTTACACATTTCGAAATAGGGGTTATTCAATGACTTCTAATGACCACGCCATCTAACGGCTAGCATGTGCAACTTGCAAGGATGCACGGTTCGTGACTCGGCTATGCAGCAAGGACAAAGCACGGCTTATTTTGTTATACAACTGTATAGAACAGTACGTGTTAAGTAACTCCAATTACTGACACAGCTGTATTTAACATTAGGACAAATGTTATAGTCGGATTCGCTTGAATGAAGTATGATTTTAACAGCAATTCATTTGTTAATGTCTATGTCAAGTAGTTGTGTTTGAGAATATACGAATATAAGAAAACGGAAATAAAATTGAGACTCGTCAAAGCTTGTAGACAGGATTGCTTATTTCATATATTCAACATTTAACAGCATTTAAACTGACATTATATGGGTATTGAGATGTAGAGTGGGGTAACTTAGTTCGCATCATTATTTTGGTTTTAAGAAAATTTGAAATAGCATAAAAAACTATTTCCTAAAATACAAATACCAAAAATATGTTGTTTTCTTTTGCTAATCAGAAATGCAAACTATTCAACTTAGGGAAATTCCGTTTGATTTATAAGCCAATGCATAGACATACTAAAAGCTTCAAAAATGTTAATGTAATATCTTTAAAAACACAGTCTGATCTATCGCCTAACATAATCTACCACATGTTGGTGCGGTTGGGCCAGCCTAATGCATTTTCGACTGCTTTGGCTGTAACACAGAAAAAACAAACTGAGCAACGCCCGCATTCCAATGAAAGCGCCAGCAGCTGCACGAAGAGCAGAAACAACACCAACAACATCAACAACATCAACAGCAACAACAAGCATACAGGCACACACAAGTCAAAGAAATTTGCTGTTAATTCACGTATTAACCTCTTGACATTTGGCAGCAGCGTCGCCAAGCGAAAGAAAAACATGTCGACAAACTTGCAACATGGTGGCACCAACGGAGACGCGGCCCGGGCGGAGGCAACGAGCGGCACATCTGCCCGCTGCATAGAAACTGTGTCAATGTGCCAGCAACAAATGTTTGGGCGTTGTGCATGAATGTGGACGTGGCTGTGGATGTGGATGATGTTGGCGGCATGTGGGAGGGCCCGCTGCGAGATATCGGCGTTGGAGTTGAAGCGTCGCCTTTGGAGTTGGAGCCACGCCAAATGGAAAACGGCACGCCGCGTGTGTCTGTCGCTGTGTCTCTGAGTCTATGTGTCTATGAGTACGTGTGCCTCAATGACTTTCAATTAAATCAATATTCATCGTTTTGGCTGCCTCGGGGTCTAAATGGCAGCGGGCGGCCACGGCACAGCCCGGACGGGCAAGCAGGCTGCGACAGAGGCTAGAGAATAGAGGCTAAGGCAGTTGCTGCTGCGACTCCGCTCCTTGATTAGGCGCTACGCGGCTACGACAACAACAACTACAACACCAACAAACAGTTAACAGCTAACAGCTAACAGCTAACATCAATAGCTAACAGCAGCTAGCGCTACAGCAACGACAGCAGCATGGGAAAATGTGCAATTTCGGCCAAAAATAAATAGCAAAGTCTTGAAGAGACAGAGACCAAGCGAATGAGATACCTGAATAGCCTGACCGAGCCTGGGCACATTCATTGCGCAAAGTTTGCGGCCTGTCTCTGGCTGTGTGCTTGTGCAGCCAGTCTGCAATCAAAGATACACCACCAAATAAACATTTGAATCACTTCCCCGAGCCTTTCACAAAAACAACAAGCAACATAAACAAAGCCCCAGCAAATGCAACAAAAACAAACACAGCGCACAGAAGTTAGCCCAGTCGAGAGCCGAGCGCGAGTAAATAATTAATGTTTGCCAATAACCGAAGACACCTTCAGCGCCTGCAGTTGCCAGTTGGCAGTTGCAAGTTGCAAGTTGCAAGTTGCAAGTTGCAAGTTTGTGATTGCCAGCCCGCCCGGTGTCAAAGCCAAGACAACAAGTGTGCCCGGAGGTAATGCAAATGAGGCATTTGTAATATTGTGTTGCAGTTCGAGGATTGAATCAAGGTAGGAGAAGACGCCTTCAAGCCCTAGACTTTGTCACATCATTGTTAAATCAACCAATTATACCCTTTAATGGCTTTAAATGAATAGAAATATCGGCACGTAGCAGATCAAGTGCCCTTCACAAGTAACTCTATATTTTTATTACCGACTAAGTCTACTGATGGAGTGAATACAATATTGCTTGTGTCATAGAGACGTGGCTTGAAAAACGTTGTTGCCATCCTTGAGGAAGATATCTATTAAAATGCATTGTCCTTTCTATAGCTCCTTTTGAACTTATTATTCCAGTTTCCGCTTCTTAACGGCTGGACTATTCAAAATTTTTAGCCGATCTGCAAAGGCATATTTTGATTCAACTCTCGCTATTGATAACGCAATTGGCATATGAAGAGAAAATTAAAATTCAGAAAGTGTGTCTATAATTACATTTTATTGACATAATATAATAAAAAAACAAAGCACATATTGTGAATAACAAATCAGTGTGCAAGCGAGAATTCCAAAGCTTATTAAATTGAAGTTGTTTTCTTTACCCTGCACTTAGCTCATCCAGCGCTCAAAGATAAAGCACACAGAGGCCAGCAACATACCGATCAGCCAAACTCCAGCTGCCACATAGTAGTACTCCAGATCATTGGAATTTACCTCCTGGTATCTGGCACGGTTCACGAATCGCAAACGTCCGCTCTGGATCCCATTGATAAAGCCATCGCTTTTCATCTTAAGCAAGATTCCACCTTCGAACACTCGCCGCATATAAAAATTGAAGATCTTTAGGTAGGGTCGCCCGTAGGCGGCGGGCATGAAGAAGGGCTGCTGGTAGATGATCTGCGGTAACTTGTGGAATAGCGGAACGCGTAAGAACTTTTGCTGGTACAAAGCAAACTCAATGCTATCCGCGAAGCCGTTGTGCAGCATGCTGACGTTCAGCTCGAGTCGATATCTGTCCACCAGCTGCTCCGGTGTGACTACGAGGCGTTTGGCCAGCTGCGGATGCAGATCGGGCAGCTTGTGTAAGAAGTTATATTCGACTTCCTCTTGAGGCAGTTTGTAATCCGTTCCCTCCAAGTCGTCGAAGTTGTTGAACTGCTTTTCATAAAGGCCCGCCGCCAAATTGCTGGAGAGCTGCGCCAGATAAAGATTGGTCAGCATCAGGCCAGTTATTATCATCATAATGTAAACCAACAGGCGACGAGGCCGAGGAGGCGCAGTTAGATCTCTACCAGGCGACAGGAAAAGCAAGAGTCGCAAAATTTGCAGAAAGGCATCACTCAAACTGAGATGTCCTTGCGAAAGCAGAAACAGTGCCCCGCTGCAGTAGCTCAACATGACGAGGCATGCCAACCAAGTGGTCCAACTGTATGGCTTCAGAAGATACATATACCTGGGCAGAAGTCTGGCTGACGGAACCATAAGGTAGCTGTTCTCATGCCAGAGCACAACGCTGCTCGTGAAATTCGGAGTCTCTGCCAGCAGATAAGGCAAGAAGTCGACGCGACGAGTGCTAAGCGCATCATTAGCTTCCTTCAAAGTGCCCAGCATGTGTGTTCGTATGCTGCCCTTAAAGTGCTTAATAAAGTCCAGTGTCATGCGCAGCATATAGCCAGCATACACAGTTCGATTTTGCTGATCTTTAAAGAGAAAGGCCCTTGGTGCGCTGCTGGGCAGAATGCCACAAGTTATCTGAAAGCCATGAAAGTCCCAAAGCAAGCCACGAGTGCGATGAAAGTACTGCAGCGTATCTTGCATGGCCAGCAGTCGAAGCTTTGGATATGGCATATAGCTGTAGAGCTCCTGAGTGTGCGGCAACGCCACCAGGATGTGCACCATGCCCTGACGCCAGCAATGCGCAAAGAGCTGAAATAGTTTACCAGGTGTTGCCCCCGGATATACGATGAATACGTGTAGTTGCTGGGCACGCCATAGCCAGGATGTGAGGTAGTTGAACATGCTGTTCGCATGCGCATCCTCCAGAAATATGATGGTCAAGGCACGTTCACTAAAGTTGCCGCTAAGCACGAGTTGCAGCTTCGTATTGCTTACCCGGAGTGTGGGCAGAACAAGCTCTCTAGCTGGCAAGAGAGTGTCGAAAACCGACTTATTACCGAACTCAATGTAAGCATTCAGCTCCATGTTGTATAAAACATTGAGCTGGTCAATGCACTGGCTGACAAAGTTGCCCGGCACCAACGACAGATTCTGCAGAGTATTCAAGTATAGCAAGTCCATTGCAACTCTGAAGGCTACGGGCCCGATGAACTGCTTTTATAGCAATAACTGGACCTAGACCCAAATATTAGGACCGCAATTTATTTATGTTTGTTACATGGATAATTATTATTACAATTGAAATTGATTAGTCATGCGACTCCTCACGAACTCCAGCAGGAAGCAGAGTGTGGCCAACACCAAGCCCGCACTCCACAACGCAAACGCATTGTAATAAAATTCCAAATCGTATGGCTTCTGCTCAATCCTGTCACTCGCAATAAATTTCGTTATACCACCTTCGAGTAACTCGAGCCATGCATCGATCCTCATCTTTGTTAATATGCCGTACTCAAAAATCCGTCTCAGATAGGCATTCAACATATTTAGGTAGGGCAGTCCGTCGACCACTGGAAAGGACATAAAGCCATCCATAAGACTCTGTGATGTCATCTTGAAGAGCGGTACTTTCAGCAGGTGCTGCTGGAATAGAATACCATCCAAGCGATCGCTATATCCAGTATACATATAGCTTGTGTTCAGAGATATGCGTGTGGATTCCAGAATCTGCGGTTCAACTACGATTATGCGGCGTCTGACGATTTCTGGCAAGAAAATTGACAGCTTGATATAATCAGCGTAGTACTTATCTAGGAGCATTGGGTAGGGAGAACGTGCCAAATCCTGTAGAGTATTGTATTGCGGCTCGAACAGACCCGATGTTAGCATGCTTGAAAGCAGTGCCAGGTAAAAATTTGTCAATATAAATCCACTCAGCAACAGTATAAAATGGATCACAACCTGTTGCCAGTTGGCGAAGCTGATCATTGGCTGCGCGATAAACAGCAAATTGCACCAGCTGCTTAGGAAGTGTTTTCCAATTTCGGAGCCTCTATTTCCATTACTAGCATAAAGCATCAGCATGCCGTAGACAATGGTTACAATTACTCCGATCCATAGACTCCAAGTGAAAGGGCGCGCAAAGTACAAGTATCTCGCAATTGGCTGGGCATAGGGCACTGCTATGTAAAACGGATTCAGATGGACAGGTGCAGTCGCTGTTTGGTTCAACTGTGGGTCTTTGACATAACAAATAATGTCAACGCTGTGGTTTGCCAACAAAGTAGTAGCAGTTATGTATAAGATTTCATTGGTAACTTTCGTTACTATTTCAATCGTTAAATTGTGCCGGTGTGTAAACTCCTTAAGCGCGTTATACATATAGCCGCCATACACAAGCTTTCCTTTGCGATTTACGTATTGAAAAATACGAGGCTCGACCGTGAATAAAATTGTCCGAATCGGATATTGTTGGAGATTCTGCAGCTGGCGCCACCTATTCAGGTAATCCTCAAGCAGCGGCAATCGCAATGCTCGAATTGTAGGATATGGATTGTAGCTATGAAGCGCCAATTCCTGGTGCAGTTGTTGAATGAGTAGGACATTAATAAACCCATTCTGAAAGCAGTAGCTGTAGAGGTCATTTTGCCAGATGCGGGGATCTTCTTTAGTTATAAAAACAATGTGAAGCTCATGTAGCAGCCACAAAAGGCGTGGCAAGAAGTCCGCCACTAGAGCGTCCAGTGGATAGGTCTGTATATAGACTACAATTAATGTATTTTCAGTAAATCTTCCAAGAATTCGAAAGTCAGCTAAGCTGTTATTCGATAGCTGAATCTGCATTTTGGGCGTCTCCAGTTGTAACTCCAATGCATCCTCGTAGCTATTTTCCATGTTGATAAAGATGTCAAGTCCTATTTCGTATGCAGAGTTGAGTTGTTGCAAAATTTGAGGTACTTGAGCCACTTCTGTTTGGCTTGTCTGAGAGTATGCAGCACAATATTGCAAGTGAATTATCACTTGAAGCAGACTCCAAATAATCCAAGTTGAATAGATGCCAAATAACATTATTGATGCTAATAGTCAAAACTCAATGAAAGTCCACGCTAAACTAGTCCAAGCATTTCTATAAAGCAGGTTTAGTTTTAATGATTTTGACTGATTCTTATCTGGTTGGTTGGTTGGTTGCTAGTGGAGTCAAGTGCCAAAGCTTTTAATTATATCTAAGTTACACTCATGCCCAGTTAAAGCAACACGCAATGGTCTTATCGCCCATCGAGCAAATGACAGTTTTACCACACAATTGTTTGCTAAGTTTGGAGCTGTTTGTTCTAATCTAACCGGAAGATTACCTAATTGTATAGTTATTCAATTATGTAAAACTGTGGCTAGGGACTAACTGAGTGTTAATTAAATAGTTGAAGGCGCGAAACTAAATATTGTTTACATTAAATAGAAATTTATCTGAAGCAAACTCAAGAAAAGATTTAGTTATATTTAATTTTATCTATGAGTACTTATATGTATAGAGAAATGCTGCATAAAGTTCGTATATGAAAACACTAATATTGTAAAATATACAAAAAGAGATTTCCCACGACCGATAACTGTGTGCCACAGTCGTGTTAAGAAAGAAAATATAAATAAATAAATGAAATAATATTGATTTCTATATGTTTCTATTTTTATGTGGTATTTAACAGCGGTCTTGCGTGCTTGAGTTTGCCGCTGCCCACAATCGGGCTACTGGAACAATGTTTGAAACTAGTTGGCCAACAATAGCGGCAGAAACAACAACAAGCACAACGACTGCGATTGGGAACAATTTAAAATTGAAATCGCTCATAAATTCTGGGACTAATTGTAAAGAATGGCAGACCTTGAATTCAAATCAGCAGCTTAGTCAGCCAATGGCTACTGCTAAGCAAATGTCTTGCAAAATTATGAAGCTTCACAAATCTACAAAAACCAGCAACGGCAGCAGCAACAGTAACAGCAACAACAACAACAACATACCATATCCATTGTGTTTGAAAATAACGATAAATAAATATAAATTTCAAAGGCAAACATAAAGAGCTATTGACTGTTGACTTTTATGAACAATTAGGCGGCAGCCACTTAAAGAGGCGAATATATTGAGATACAGATACGCAGATAGAAATACATAGATATATCTAGATACAGAGTGCATATATGGCATACAAGTGCTGTGCTCACATGGTTAATGGGCCCCTCTATGGGTTCTCTATGGGCCTGGCCAACAATAAACTGCAATTGATTAGATCGACAACTGCAGCACGCAACGACGAATGGCAAAGGCCAATCGGGGTGTGGGGGAGGCGTGTCGAGGGCGTTGCAAGCTTGTGTGCCTTTGGACTTCAATTAATGCATTCAAAGCATTTATGCAAATGGCGGGAAATAATTTATCACCCATTCAAGACGCAACAACAGCCACAGAAACAACAACAACGGCAACCGCAACAATTGCAATAGCAGCAGTAGCAACAACAGCAACAACAGCAACTATCAAACCTTCCATCCAAGCATTGCAATATGCAAAAGTTTTGATCATTAGCGTAACGCCCACGCAGTTAACATTAAGTGGGCGTGGCCATAATCCGCACACGTTCTCTCACTGTTTTTGTGTTCGATTTTTATTTTTCTATTTTTTTTTTTATTTTTGGAGGCGGCTTTGTTTGATTTGCTTTGCCTCAGCTGTCGAGTTGATTTCATTGTTGTTGCATTTTATATAATTAGTACTTAATTTATAATTTGCTGTGCCGCAAATAATGCACTCAATTGTTTATGTTATATTCGTTGCTGTTGCTATTGCTGTTGCTGTTAGGAAACCAGCGCAAGGTTAGAAGATTTGAGATTGAATGCCTGCTGCAGCCAGCCAGTGCTGGGTGGAGTCAAGTCGTATCGGTGTGAAAGGGGATTTTTCTGAGCTATCACGATATGGCAATGATATAATTTATGATTGAATACCCGACTAAGATACACTGTTTGCATTCTCCTCCTTATTTCAGTGTTACACTTTCAATCGGATTAAGTTTTAAAGCTAATTTCTCTATCGCTCCTTCTTCGTTCTTGTCAATCCGTTAGTAACGCCCACACAATTCGACACCCTCTTTGTGTGCAGCGAAAGACAAAGCCTGACCATAACATTAAAATAACAATCATCTACCAGTTACTTATCGCCACATCATAGAGACCACCCTCCGCCGCTCCCAGCAGTCGAACAATCTTTGGCCAACGATCTGTTTAAAGTCTAAGTATGCCCCAGAGCAACAGTTGAGTTATTTCGCAGTCAGAATTGAAACTGTGGCCGTAAAATCAATTTGCCAAAACGTCTACAACTTTATCACACAGTTCACTTAGTCATAGCCGCAGTCATGGACACACTGCGAATTGTGTTTTGTCTTTGGGCAACTAGCTATTCAAATGCCTAAAAATGAGCAAAAATCAAACGCTTGACCGAACCATCTGCCATCGGTCGGTCAATCGGCTCGTTGGCTAAGCGTCAGCAGGCAACTCATAGCTGGAAGCAACTCAAGCTGGGTATACGAAAATACTAGCATTTCTTGTCTATATCAATTGACTTTTTGGGGCAACTTAAATTATATGGCCGCGACCAGCAGACGGTGCCAAAGACAATAATTCGCAATCGATCAAAACGAGGGAGTGGAAGAGACAGTTAGGCTCTGCAATTTTTGCGGCTCAACTAATGCCAGAGATTTGGTCAAATGGGTCACAGCATCGGGCTCAAGCATTGCAATTGTAATTGAGAAAGTTATCGATCCTTGGTCAGTGGTCGCTGGTCAGTGGTCAGTGGTCAGTGATAATGGTTTTATCGGCAAGCCGATGGGAAAAATATTGGCGTGACCGGGGTTAATAAAAAAATTGCTGACCCTTAAGCACTTGCTGTCGCTGGGCGTACCGTCTCGCCCCGATGTGGCTGGCATAGACAAGCATGTGCATTTCAAATTAATTGGCTATCATAAAATTGTGGCTGCTGACCAAAAATACGAAAAGATTGCTTAATCAATGAGTAGGTGAATGCTTGCTCGTATGCTCAAAGGCGTTGGCTGACTGGCTGGTTGGCCGACCAGCGTGAACTTTGCGCAAGCCAAGTTAATGGGCCATAAACATTGCTACGGTAAAAGTCAAGCGATTGTGCGCCTAATTTGTCGCTTGCCAGGCCAATCAGGGTACTAGCAGCAACATGTTGTCGGCAACACGGCATTAACAAGTGCAACACCAATACATGTCTATGCGTACGTATGAGTGTGTGTGTGCCTTGGCTGTCAATTGCTGACATTTTCAGTGGTCCAATATGCTTGACATTCATTGGCAAGTCGCATGTTGCCGAGTGACTGACATTTTGCCGCTTGCATAACAGGCAACAACAGCATTCGCAACATCAGCAACATCATCAGCGGCAACAGCAACAGCAACATCTAACAAGCTGCCAAATCAAATGCAGTCAAGCGACTGATTGCACTTGTTCCTATCGATATTCAAATACAAATATCTCCACAGCAAGTGCATCCAAATATCAGCTGTCTGCCTTTTGAAATGTGTGCTGTTGATGTTTATGTTTATGTGCCGTTGCACTTTATGGCCATAAATACAAACGATCTTAACGCGGCTTGTTGATTGATTGACGACGATTTACTCCCATTTTGATGTGGCCTTGATACAACCTAATAGAGAATATTATAATTTTGTCACACAACGTGAAGCGCATGGCATGAGACGTCTTCGACGTCAGCAATTAATCAAATGCCAAATATTTATAGCCATATCTCTTTGTCAGTCTGCCTTATTCAAATGTCGGATGCAAATAATTCTCTCAACTCGAAAGCATTCATGACAACTCCAAATAGCTATATATATGACGTTATTGGAATTAAAAATGGAATTACCCCGAAGCGCAATTAACACAGAATTCAGTATCTTTTGGTTATAGTTCTTAAAAGTGCTTAAAGTTAATATTTAGGGCTTGCTAATATTATGCTGCTATATGTATATATGGCTATAGAACTATGCTCTGCTACTATGCCCTATGCCTTTAAGATGTTCTTTAGCACACGTTGGGAAAAACTTGGATAGACAAAAGACAATTTTTCTAATCAAATGATGTGGCCAATTCTCATGAGCTCAAGCCTGAAAATTGTTCAATGGCAATAAAATGGATATATATTATATATTAAATATATATACATATACACTTATTAGCTCAGCTGGCTTAAGGGTATATAAGTCGTCGACTTCTCAAAGTAAACATTTATTCTATATACAATAACTAAACTGGTTTCCTTCTGTATTCCTATAAAGGTTTAAAGTCAAGTTTCAATAATGGAATTAAGGAAGTTTATTTAATCGACAGAAAAAAATATTTTTTATATTTTTTATATTTTAATAAATGTTTTTTATATATTAATTTAATTTGAATATCAATTTAGCTTAGCTTTAATATCTTCGTGCTGTCTTGCATGTTATCTTAAGCGCTGTGCCATTTGGCCTTTAACTCATGGTTATCACAAAAGCATTTAGTAAAGCTCGCCCACATAAAAGTGTTAACAACGACTGCATTAACAACTATTGGTTAGGTAAAAAATAAAAGCAAATTGCGAATTGTGGCTTGCGTTAATAACCATAAAGAGTCAATGCAGCTCTTGCAGCCAACTCCAAAAAAATAAAAGCTGAAGAGAAAAAGTGTCGAGGCGCGTAAACTAAGCCATAAAATTATGTTTAACACACCCTCTGACAAAGCTGTGAACAGCGTGCAATGCGTAGGATAAGTCCGTAAAATGTTGCTGCAGCTTGCGCTGCTGCTGTGGTTGCTGCAGCGACAATCGACGACGGGTTGTTAGCGATTTTTCTTT